TTGGGTTTTATGTTTTATTTTATTTTTCTGCTTTTGATGTTGCTATATGTATTTCCAACTTGGATGTAGACCATTGACTTTTTAGCCCTAGCCGGGCCATTATATTCACAGGTCGGGGGTGTAGCCTTAACCCCCCATCCCAATCTGGGATGTTTATTTAAAAAAAAAAATACAAATTGACACGGTGAAAAAAAAACCTAGCAACTACTAACCTAGCACAATCATACAACTAACCTAGCACAATCATACAACTAACCTAGCACCATCAGACAATTAATCTAGCATGCTAGGTTATTTATATTTAATTGCAAGTTTAGTTGTCAACGGTCAACGCCGGAAGTCAACGGATTTTCATCGAAAGTCAACGTTGGAGTCAACGGTCAACGCCGGAGTCAACGGGTCATAATATTTAAATAATTAAAATAATAAAAAGAAAAAATTAAATTTTGGCCACACATTATGTACCAAATCTTGTGGCTAGAAATGAGCTTCACGTACTCACTTTAAAAATGTAGATGCATTGGAACCAATTCCTATATATATGTATATATATATTCAAATGACACAGTAAATTTTTTGTCGTATTTTTCTTTTCTAGTAACTTTCTGACTTAGATTTCGTTTTAAGATTTTTTTTTCTTACTTTTCATAATTTAACTATTATTTTCGATGTGCTGACTGTTGAAAAAATAATGAAATAATTTCTCCCGATATATTAATTCAAAATGTGTTGAGCCTATGTGACAGATTCTCACGTTTTGGATGCTGACATGGCGAAAATCTATGCTTCGTATTTTTGCTCTGGAGTTAAGTTTGATATTAGATATAAATAATTCAACACCCATGTTGTATATGAGAATTAGTACTAGTTATTTTTTAAATACAGTTAATCAGTTATAGAATGAGGGAGGCACCAGAGGAACGCCACGTGGTGAGTGTGGGGCTATCTTTGTAACACGTGGCTGTATAAATTTGTAATTTAAGATTAAAAAATCTCACTTTTTATTAATGCTCAACTTGGGATTAGGGACGGATTAAGTTTAACTAATTTAATATTAGTTGTTAGGGTTTGGAATCTGGGCTCCGTTGACAAATCAATTAAAAGTCATTCTAATTAAGCATTGCATATCATAATTATTATTAAAAAATGAATGAATAAAAATGGGGAAATATTCATGCAATTCTCACGCAACCTTGTAATTGATTGTTGCTCTTGATAGCCTTAGATATTAAGGCCTCATTTACTTTGGTGGATGGGATTAAAGAAAATAATCAAGACAACTTTACATGTCAATATTGGGATGAAATTTTCAGAAAAGAATCCCTCATTTACTTTCATGGATTAAGTGATATGATAAAAAAGCAAAAGACTACTTTAGCCTTCGATTTCATTCTTCTCCCCCAAAGAGGCGACGACGTTGGCCCCCACGACAAGCCGCGACGGCCGGAATTCAGACGTAGACGACGGAAAACTAGGTAAATCACACAGGTGAAGGAAAAATTCAATATGAAGAGCAATTGAAAAAAATAAAAAGAAAGAGAAAAACGACTCAGTAAAAATGACCAACCCCAATTTATGAAACACAAGAACACATCTTTGCAAAATTTGGGCAAATGCACGGGTGATGGTTAATACTAATAAAAAAGAAATCGCTTCCCAATTTTTTTTTTTAAAAAAAAAGAACCAACATTGAGAGGTGAAGCAGATTACAGAAACACAAATCTTGACTATGAAAAACTAGGGTTCTTGAAGAGAGCGACCATAAGGCATATAACCATGTACTGTACATGTGAGCATTGTCGAAAAACATACAAAAAAAGTGAGATTCGAGCTTACCTTGGCGGCGGATAAAACAATGAGCTCCACATCCTCTGCACTTTTGTTTACTTTTTCAAGGAAGATGAAGGTTAATTGCAGACAGATTTTAATATTTTATATGGTAAGGTATGGTAATTAAATGGATGTTGTGGGATGTTTACGTATTTTCCCAGGCAATTTTGAGGGTAAAATCGTAATCTACAAGGTGGGATTAAAAAATCCTGGGGTCTACCCCGGACAGAAATAATCGGCAAATAAATGATCTGCTTGTGGGGCCCGCAGACACATGTACACCACGTCAATTCAACCTTGTCTCAATCCCTGTATGTAAACGTTAGATATTGAGGGATAGTTTTACTTATCCCATCCTGTCAAGCAAAGTAAACAACCCCTAATTGTTTTTAATATTGGATTGGTCATGTTATCATGTACATCTTCCAATACTAGTATTCTAATCGAACCGAATATATCGAGCTTGTACATTTTGAGTTTGTGTTTGTTCGTTTATCTTATCGAGTGCGTCAGTTGAATTGTTCGTCAAAGTTCGAGTTTGTTCGTGTTCGAGTAATTTAAAAACAAAATTTTAAAATATGATCAATTAAGTCGGAAATTGTTCGTTCAAACTTGAAAAAAAAAATTAAAGTATTTTTATATTTTAATTTTTATAAAAAATATCATGTAAATATACAAGAAGTTAAAATTAAATTATATTGAATTTATGTTCACGAACATTGCCTAACGTTGGCGAACGAGATTGCGTTCGTTAGATTAAACAAGTCTAATTTTTTGTTCGAACTCGACTCAATTAACAAACGAATGAACTCTTGTCGAACCCGAACGAACTTTTGTTCGTGAACGTACTGTTTGTTAACAACCTTATCTTCCTCTCATGAAAAGTAACAACACATGATTTTTAATAGGTGTACATCCTGAGTACAACTCGTTAATTTACTTATCGAATCTAAAATCGAGCAGCTAAATGAATTCGTGTGTTAAATAAATGAATCGAGTGGAATTTGTTTCTAAACAACTCGTTTAGGGTCTTAACACTATTAAACAAATTAAGTCAATTAGAGGCGCCCCTTTTCTTCGACTATTAAACGAGACGTTCGAGCCGACTCGTTTATTGAACAAGCGAGGTTGGCTCAACTCAAATGACACCCTATATATATCGTGTAATTAAATTAAAAACTCCTTGCATTTGTCTGGAGAATCAAATTATCCGTGCTCGTTGGCCATATACTTAATTTTTTTGTTATCATTTGAATTTCCGTGTCTAATATTACACTGTTTATATATATGGAAGATGCTATTGTCTCGTTACGGAACCATTCTGTTGGGGTTTATAACCGCTAGATCAACTATCTATATTTCGTAACGGGACTTTAGCATTTTTCCTATGCATATATATATACACATGTATCAATTATTGCACGTGAAAAGTTATATAAATGTTAAAAGTTAGATTAATTTCAGCTAACCATGAAAGAAATACTTGAATAAACTTTGGCAAAATTAGATAAGATCCCATTTATTTCATGCACGCACCTAAATCTCAAATTATTGGGGAAAAGTAACAAAATTTTGGTCTTTGCCACACAAATTGGACGGAAATAATATGTAAAACGAGTCAAATCTGAACCATTATTACATGGTGAAAGAGGCAAAACATCACCATTTATGAGCAACCAACAATTATATTAAAAATTACAAAAATTAGAAATCAAGAAAAGGCCAAATTCTCTTCATATGGACAGCCTTATGAGCAACCAAATTTTAACCATGGATTAGATTACAACTCTGGTTAAAACTTAAAAAAGCAAGTGCTGGTTAAGGATAACCACAAAAAAAAAAAAAAAAAAAAAAAAAAAATTTTTATTATCTACAGTCTCATCATCATCATCATCCTCTTTCAAAAACAACAAAAACCATTTTGTTTCTTAAGTTTCTTTCTCTCTCTAAAAATGGCTAAAGAATATTATCACCGCCCCAAAACCCTAACATTAATCTAACCTTGAATAATAGAGAACAAACAAAAAAGTTCTGGGCTTCATCAATCCTTAGCTGCTGT